TATATATATATTTAATGGAAACCTGTAGTGTGGAGTCTTCAATAGCTGACCTTTCCTGCATGCTTGTGCCAGAGCACTTTGTTAAAGTACTAAAACCAGAGACGGTGATGCAGCTACCATTTTCTTGTGGACCACATCTGGTTGTTCCGAATCTAAAATTGAATTACTAATAAGTCTTTGTAGACACAAAAAAGGTCACTATTATAAATGTGTTCTCTGGTATATACCCAGTAACTCCAGATCATTTATACTGGGATTGTAGTTTTCATATTTTTTTCCTTTTCGTTATTTCTTCTTGTTTGTAGAACCAATAGGCTGTAAGCTGTGATGGCGAAATAACATATCTAATTTTTTTCATTGGCATGGTTATATCTGTATATGTAGTTATTATGACTGTTGGTAGCTGTTTTTCATAATTTAATTCTGATACCGTGTTTGTTTTAGGTTTAGTGGTCCATTAATGCTAGCTTCTCTTTCTGTCTTTTCTGGGTTTTTTTTTAGGAATAAGTAACAAGCCTCAATAATCTGGGGACAGGCCACTAAATGGTTACAATGATGTGATGGGGTGATGGGGTGCACTATAATGAACTTGCTCTACCCATCCACAGATATACATAGATATACTGTATGTAGCTTCCTAGTAAGTTGTCCCTTTCTCAGGTGTCTCATTTGCCCGTCAGCTGAGTCAAAGTAACAAGCAGAAGAAGCACCATAGAGACAACTGGTTCAGCTTACGCCTGTGTGAAGAGGCAACTTAACTGAAGAAAGGTCTGGGACTGCTCCGAAAACCTATATAATATGTACTTTGAAACTAACTCAAATTGCACACAATACACAAAATGCCAGTCTTAGCAAATAGACTCCTAATGATAACATGCAAATCTGATATGAATTATGTTATAATGCTTGATATAACGACAAAGTGGAACAGGTTATCTTATTGGTTCTTGATTTTATTCTGCTATACATTTAAATGGGATATGCTTAATGTCTAAATAATAATAACGTAATAATGCCTATATAGTAACATAGAAAAACTAACCTGAAACGAGTTCTGTCTGGTGTGTAATGTTAATGACCCTCCTGACATATCCACACTAGGATAAATGTGGCTTCACAATTATATATGTCCTTTAGTTTAAAAAAATTTAGTGATTCTAATTCTAAGTTCTAATTACTAAGATCAATTAAATCCAGCAATGCAACATAAAAAAAAAAAATCACACTTTGCATGTCACCCATTCTAAAGGTGCATATAACTCTCTATTTTGTACAATATGGCAAGGAAACTACATGTGAAATAAAGCTATTTAAAGGGCCAAACCTGATTGGCTGTAGCTGTTGCAGCGAAGGGCACGCTGGTGGCAGGTGTTGTTGCTGCAGACACAGTGGTGGGCGTAGCACCGTGCATCATTTGTACTTTCAAGAGGGAACCATGGAAGCGACATACAGGAGGGTGGAGGGTTAATGGTAACCATAGCAACACATGGTGGATTGGAGGAGCGTGGTAGGTATCGCAGCAGCAAGCCATGTGACATCACCATGAAGGTTACACCGGGAGCAGCATGCAATCACAGTGCAAAGCAAAGACAGCATTATCAAAAGAAAAGAAAGAAAAACAAAAAAGAGAAAAAAGGGAAAAGCTCATTATAATTAAGGAAACTAAAACATTTCAAAACACAATACAGTTGTAAGCACAGATATGACGTGTGTCATTCCTTACTAGAGCTTTTCAACACAGAAAATGAACAATCCTAATGCAACAGCCTAATGTAGATCAAGCGGTCTTTATAATCTAGTAAACCTGTTGAAAAACTCTAGTCTACTGTAATGAATGTCTAAGGTGATTGTAAATGACATATTCGTACTCTTACCATATGAACTACCTGTCCTTGTTAGGGTCGTCAAACACCCAATGCTACTTTTGCTTCCGGCTCATGTGAAAGGACAATTAGTAGAAAAGGAAGCAATCACATAATCTGTCTCAGAGACCTTGTAGCATGTCGGATCTCTGCAACAGACATTAAGCTCTGTGTTGCTCACTTTGTCCCTTTCATTACAGTTTACTTGAATTCTGCTAGTGTGCAGTCAATGTTAAGATCTTCAGTTCTACCCTTTTTAATGAACAAACGTTGGTTTTTAGGCAAGGTAGAAATGAGTGAAACATATGTATTTATGAGATATTACATTACCTACTATGAAATATTCTGCAGAGCTCTCATCTTCTGGCTTCACAGACAAAGAATAAATGTATAGCCAGTAGGAACCCTAACTTGTATACTGGGCCAGGCCAGAGACTCACGGAGTAGTGACATCAGAGGAAAAGTCTAAAAGCAATGGAACTTATAGCTTCAAAAACTAATCAGCATCCTAATATTTATCATTTAGTTTAATATTGGTATATATTTTGGGTTTTTGTTTAAGGGATTAACATAATAGAACACAACAAAGCATATTAAAGTGTATAGTGCAGTTGATCATTTAGACCCTTGGTTCTCAACTGGTGGGTCGTGACCCCAGGTTCAGTGGGTCGCCGCATGCCTTCTACTTTTGAAGGTGAGAAACTACTCAGCCTCGCCCTACCGCAGCACTGTCAGTTGTTGTGCCAAGCAGCCATTCAAAATATGCTGCCTGGCAGCCAATGCGTCTGAAGCTATGCAGATTCTACAACTACACAATACATACGAACGAGCGCTTGTGTTTCGAAATGGCACTGTTGGGAGCTTCCAACAGAAATGGCAGCCCTGGTGTCTGTGGTCTCAGCAAGACATGCCCTCCCCATGACTCTTGCTGATAATGACTCATGTAAAGCTTGGATGCTTTGACTATGGAGCCTCTCGGGTCCCTCCGAGATGGAATTAGGTACGCTTTATCAGTACAGTACATATGTCTTTACCTGCTTCTTATTTCATATTGTTGGTCCTAACCGGACTTTCTTTGTTCTTAATACTTTCTATTCGTTTTGTAATAATGAAAATACCCTAATAAAAACCTATTGAACATAAAATATGCTGCCTGGTGCCGAGTGTCAGCTTGAGTTGGGATGGGTTTGGAGCTTTAGCCGTAAGGGATCTGCCAGGTGCCTGGACCGGAGTGACATCACATTCTGGCTCCCGCCACCTCTACAGGGCATGCAAGTGAGCTGTACAAGCAATGCACATATGGATGGAGCTCCGTCACAGCACAGCAGCCCACACTGGACCCAAGGCTGAGGATCCACTCCAGTTCTCGTAAGGTAGGTGAGACTGGGTGCATCTAAAAAAAAAAAATGTTTTGAAGTGTGTATTAGAATGTCTGAGTGTGTAAGATTATGTATGTATGTCAGTGTTTTGAAGGCCCGTTCATACTAGTACACTGTGTTAATCGCATAGTACAGTGTCATTAAAGCACTGTACCACACAATCGTACCTACCATGCATTCTGGTGTGGGAGGTGTGTTGTGTTGCCATTTATTAGAATGGCACCTCAAACGCAGCTCCCACCCACAGTTTGTATGTTCGCACTGGAACACGCGGTGCCTAATGTGTGCGTTTCATTGCAGTGTGACTTGGGTCGCAACTTAATGACAGAGGACAAATGGGGGTCCTGAGGTTACACGGGTTGAAAACCACTGATTTAGACTGGTTGCTTTAGGGTACTGCATCTAGCACTAAGCCTTATTAAATGACAATGTTTACTTATTTTACCTTTAAATTTATATCTGTTGGTACCTTTTGTGAATGCAAAAACTGAAATAAAAGAGCTGTGACAGGTATTATTTATCAGGGCTGCAACATGGGAATACAAAAAGCAGCTGACTGCAAAATTCAGCCATGCTCACTACGGATGGGGTGGGAATATGTAGCTCAGAGCTCAAACATTTCAAATTAGTATGATAAGCTAAAACTGTAGCCGCTTTGTGAATATGGATACCATTTTACCACCTGGAGGCCACAAATGAAAATGTAAATTGTGGAAGAACAGACATCTTAAAAGTGGACTCAACTTTCTTGAATTCCCAGAGTCACAAAGCCAACCACAAAACAAATATTCCCAAGGCAGAAAATCGATAGTCTTAAAGTTACTGGCAAAATATCGAGTGCCATGTGGATATTACTATAATCTAAGCAAGGGTTTGAAATAATTTAAAGTGGAACTACAGGAAAAATAAATATATATGATGAAGTCTGTCACTAGCATTATGACACCTAAGTTCTTCTTATCTTTACCTGTTGACCCTGCCAGTACACCTGTTATTTTTCCATTTAATTAACCCCTCAATGATGGAAGGTCAAACAATCCTTAACCATTGACCCTATTTTTGCAACTTTTAATATTTCATGATATTTTTTCTTTAATGAAAGGAAAACTGTCCTACAATAATAAAATAATTGTTAGCTGTTTATTTCTTACCATAACCCACCAGCAAAACCCCCCCCCCAAAAAAAAACAAAACAAATGGTCATAGTCCTGATCTCCATGGTGATACTAAATCTGTGTGTACTCGTAGTAGGGTGCGCATTTTGCTTTATTTATTTATTTAATCCTACCTAAAACACACCAACACTAACACTGTCACTGACCTTCATTCTATCCCTGACACTGCACTAGCCTAGGTCATGCTCTGATCTAGCTATTTTACCTTTATTTATTATTATTATTGACTTTTTCTCTAACGAGTGGAAGCAGATGGAATGTACAACGCATCTCTTTCCACCCATAGAGAAGAAAGACGTAGGGGAGGCGCCTCTTACTGGTGATCACTGCGATTACCTATTACAGTAATGACATGATCAGGAACCGGTCCCAGCGGCTCCCGATCGTTCGTCTGAGACCAGAAGCTGTTGGTGACAGCTCGGTCTCTGTGCTGGGGGGAGTAGTTTTCAATCACCTTTTGGGTGCTGTTAAACGCCCCTCAGGGACATGCAAATAAAGAAAGACTGTTTATATTCACTATTGCATGTCTGAGTGGGGAAGCTGGTTATACCCTAGAGGACCGTGTTGTTTGGCTGGAACCCAGTGTCCTGGGTGAGTGCGGTGTCACAATATCTATATGCACCACGGAAGAAAGCCCATTTCTGTGGTGCCACGTATATCTTTAATGCCGGGGGTAGTGCAGCATTGTTGCCTTATGGATAGAGTAGTCTTAGATGGACTTAGCAGCTACAGCGAAAGGTTTCTTTTGGAAAAAAAGGTTTAAACTATATGAATAAAAGATGATAACTGTAAGGCCCCCCAGCAGGGATAAATGGTTTGTCCCAACCTCTCTAGCTGCTAATTTTGCAGGACATCTCTAGTCTGGAAGAAAAGGAAATGGAAAAACGGATCTATAAAAATTATTAAAACTATGTTACCTGGGGGATTCAGAAATATAAAAGCTATCATGTTAATGCTATTAACAGACTGCATATATGTAATTTTTGCCCACTAATTATAATTATATAGATTTAGGTTAAAAAAGCGGTTTTAACAACCAGCTCACTTTTAGCGGTTCCAGGTACTATTGTTGAGCAGGGGCTGAAACAAGATACTGCTACAGACAACTACTAATAGAAGACCACCAAAGGGTCTGAAAACATCAGCACACCTTCAGTCAGTGCTTGAGAGCTGCTAAGTGCTTTTGATATTGAAGGTAAAAAAAAAACAGCTGCCTATTTAAAAAAAAAAAATCCTGAAAAAAGTTTTGTTTCCAAGTGAATCTCCAGCCAACATTTTTTATAACGTAGGGAAGCTTTAGAAACGTTGTCAGATTTGTATTGCTGATTTACACAATGATAGTGTCAATGCGTTATCATTGAGCAGACTGTCATGTCACTGGGACAGAAAGGAAAGAGAAAGCTCCCCAACAGGGACACAGATATAAAAAAATACCCATTTATATTTTAGTAGGCAAGGGTTAAAACTGTTGTTCTTCGTGTCCCCATTTGAAAGATTTTTTTTTCCATTTTCCTGTGCTGGTGACAGCAGAGAAAGCGTTAGCAACTGATCTGAAGACAACAATCAAAACCTGACAGAAGTTCTAATTCTTGCCCATTGTTCAAAAGGAAAATAGTTTTTTAGCCAAAGTTTCACTCCTAATGCACCAGGATTATTTGCTAAACAGGGTTCTGGCATCATCATTTTCTAATCCCGGTGTCTAGGAGAGCAGATATATGATGAATGACTTACTGTGAGAGGTTACATATGTATTCTTGTACATGTCTCTTACCTGTGGGGATAAATGCAGGTTGCTGTAACTGCATATTTGCTAGAGCCTGTTGGTAGTGGAAAACACTAGGGTTAAACAGCGTGGTGGCCCCATTGCTTTTTTCAAGTGCTGGCCTCTTTGGTAAAGGTTGAAGTGCTCCAGGCTGCAGTGCCTGCGAACGGAGGAAGGAATTACAATAAATTGGACACCAAGGAAGGCCATAGCCTGCTTGTGGAATACAAAGCCTGATATATGTGAAAACATCTGCAATTGTATCAATTGCCAAAGACAGGAAGTAAAATCAACTGATGCTATAATCGCAAGAATTAAAACAAAAATCACAAACATGTCTGAAGAGTATAGAAAAGAAATGGACAAGGTTGAGGGAACATAAGGGGATTTAAACAGAACATTTTTAGATTTAATGGAACCAGTCATTGTGGGCAACAGGATTTTGTCAAAAAATAAAGTAGTGCAGTGAACTGAGTCAGCCTTAATTGACATAAAAACCAATTAGATAAATTCAACTTTGCAGTTAGGCCAGATCTACACTACTGCAGTGCGTCAATGCACATGCATTAATGTACATCATGTTAAGGCAACCTATTCATTTTGAATGGACTGTAAACACACTCCAAAGCTGGTTTTAATGCACCTACACCCCCCACCCCCTTTTTTAAACACCTGGGCATTGTGGTGCACTGGTGAACCTTTCAAACTGAATGGCACTATAATACTCCTTCCACAATCCCTCTACTGTAATTTTCTAGTCATCTTGCTCGCTCATCTAATTTGGTACACAGCAGATCAAGTTGTTTTTAAACAATATCCAAGTGACAAAACTACAGCTTTGTAAGTAAATGTTGATAAGGTGCTAATTGCAATTGACAGCAACACAAAAGGGTTAGAAAAGTAAAAGAAGAAAAAAGATGCAGCAGATCATCATCCAGATCTTCAACATTACAACAAGTTAGTATGCATGCCAAAGACACGCTAATCAAGGCAAACCCCAGCAGCAACATATTAAAAAATGTATATATGATGAACAACAGTAATGACAGTCAAAGTGCTTATTTGCATGGGGACCGCTGAAAACTGTCTGCCAATGCTCATGTATGTGGTTTTAAAGTTTCTTTTAGTGTGAAGTGTGCTAGGAAGCTCAGGGGCCCACAGATTTCCAAAAGCTGTCAGATGTGTTTACACAATACAACCATCCCTGAAGGGTCGATGAACACAAACATATAGTGTAGCTCTGCTTATCCTTCATATTCACAGGAATGTAGAGCATTGGGGATGAGATGGCGGTGCTGGAAAGGGGCTATCAGTCCCAGTGTTCTCAGTGGGGGAAAATAAAGATTAAGACAGATTCCCTAGCTTGCCAAATCGACTGGTACAGTGGCTGGCCAGTGGGGTCCTCCGATGAACATGAAATTGTTGCCTGATCTGGCTGAAATGGCAATTTAATGTTTTTGGTTATATTAGCTTTCTGGTTCTGTGAGATGTGGTCATCTCACCCACAACCCATAGATCGCCTGCTTATTCTACAGTCCATATCAGATAGGGAAACCTGATTGTTTACTTAAAGTGGACCTTGCATCGTAATACACGTCAGTTTCTTGTTAAATTCCCACCCTCTACTCTAATAAAAACTCCACAGGAGTGTCCTCTCGCAAGGTTTGGGATCCTCAGCATTTCTGCCAGAAGGCCCAACATTATCCTCACCTATATATAGGTATAAATATATATATATATTTATTTGTTATTATTTTTCTCCTCTAGTATTTTTCATGTTGACTGTGGTGTTTATTTCATGGAGGAGAGGTTCTAACAAGGAAGTGGACCATGTATTCTGATTACAGAATGAGAAATTATTAAAACCCCTGTCAAGTTATGTTACATTCAAGTAATGTAAAAATTTACATTTCTTATCACATTCTGCCCTAATGACAATAACGGTCTGTTCACAAAGCTGCCGAAGGATCTGGCCGTAGCTTCGGCTGATGCTTCGGCCCCAGGACCCCTTCGGTTCAGGAGAACCGAGGGGGTGCTGTACGGGCTATTCACATTTTCTACTTTTTTCACTCTTTTTCTGTTCTGCTCGGTGCCTCTGAGGGACCGAGCAGAACAGCCGAGCCAAATGCCGCTCGGCGGCATTCGGCTATTCTCTCACTGCTGTTCGGGATCTTGCAGAATAGCCCGAACAGCAGTGTGAAGCCTGCCGGACGTTCAGCTCAGCCGATACAGATGTTGGATCGGCTGAGTCGAACTCCTTCTGCACTTCGAGTCAGCCGAACATGCTGAGCATGTTCGGCTGATCCGAAGCCACACGAAGCAAGCCGATGTACGGCTGATTTCAGCCGATGTACGGCTGAAATCAGCCGTACCAGCCTGAAGTGAATAGCCGAACAGTGTTCGGCACACTTCACTTCTGATCGGTCATTCACTCGGCTGCCCTCGGCAGCTTTGTGAATAGACCCCAATAGTGATCAGGACAGTCAGAGACGATGTCTGGGGTTTCAATACATCCACACACTACCCAAAAGTTTTATAAAAACTTTTGGGTTTAGATACACTTTAAGATCTGTCTGACAAAATGCCTTGCATTTTAATAGTTCTAAGACGTAAAGTTACCATTTTAAAAGCAATCCATAGATATAAGGTCTGGATAAATCCCAGTTGCCAGATAGCCAAAGTGTCTAACATTATGATGCTCTGCCTGTCAGTATCAGTAGCAATACATGTTTCCTGACTCCTTTTAAAATTGCCTGCTGGCTCTAAGATTGGACTCACCATTTACTATATTCTTGAAAAAAAAATGGCTAGCCCTGTATTTAAACTGTTATGTTTGGCGCACACAAATGATATTTTCTTATAGCTATGAAGGGGAAAAATGCAGAATGAATAAAACTGAATGCCAACTGCAGTTAACAAGGGCAATTTGAAACTCGAAATTCAACACAGCAGGAATAAATTAATTGGCATAGATGGTCAAGGCACACGGAAAGTATTTCTGGTAAAGTGAAGGCAATCGGGAATGACAATAGTTGCCCTTGTTCAGGGCTAGATTCTAAAGCTGAGGGGGATGACATTTTGCGTCATATTGCTATCTATTGCCTAGCTCTTCTATGTTCTTCTACATAAACACATTTAATAGAAATATAAAGTAAAAGGCAAGAGTAGGAGGATGATTTCACAGAGAGTGAGATCGGCCTTGAAAAAAGATGGAATCAAAATGTGAAGTATTTTGGTTTTACAGCTGAAATAATTTCTATCAAGACCTTTCTAACAGCAAAGTTAAAATTCTAGGGAAAAAAATACCGTATGTTGTATGTTAATGCCGACACAATGGTCTTAAAAGGTAAGGCTTACTTGTATTTAAAGAATGGTTCACAAATGCCTTGGTGGTCAGGAGAGTTAGCTCATAAATTTAAATATTATGGTAGCTATGGACATGAGATGACATTTGGTTAAACTAGATGTTGCTCTTTCTTGTCTCTCCACAGACATAAATATAAATGCTCAGCCATGCCAAGCTTTCAAGTTTACGCACCTGACAGCAGCATGCTTTGTCCCAGCTGGGTCATGCCTACATATCTGGTCATCAGATCCCACTGACATAATTGCCAACCTTGCAAAATTAAAAGTGACACTAAACTCAGGAGTTAAATCTTAAGCATGCATTTGAATGCCTTAACTATTCACAAAAATTTAGCTTATTTGTGTATTACTTTGCTGCAGCTCCTCTAATCATCTCTGAATTTGTGCTGACACTGTCCTTCCTTCTGGAGGGTGGCTGCTTTCTTTTCCCATAGTCCCCAAGTGTGTTGTAAAGTAGCCACCGTTTCAAGCTCGCTCCTGTGATGGACTGCAATCTCATGTTTAGTATACCAATTTGTAATGCAATTATAGTCCATCATGGGAGCAAGCTTAGAGCAGTGTCTACTTTATAACACACACAGGGACCATGGGGAATAAAAGTAGCCACCCTCCAGAAGGAAGGGCAGTGTCAGCATGAATTCAGAGATGATTTGAGGATCTACAGCTGAGCGATACACAAATAAGATACAGGTATTTTAATGCATCTTTAAGGTTTAACTCCTGAGTTTAGTGTCACATTAACAAGACTTGCAAATTACCTTTTTTTACGTAAGGTGAATAAATTATCACTCAGCTGAGTGGTGCACACATAAGATACATTTTTGTGAACTTGAATGCATTTTTAAGATTTAGTGTCACCTTTAGGAGCACTCTGCAGTGATCAGATTTGTTGCCTGCACATACAACCACCCTATCTTTGAGCACAGTTAGGGAAATGTGTTCTTTAGAGTTCCTTTTTCTTTGTAAGGTGCTTCTGTAGTGTCAATTACTAATCACTTTTTCGTGTGATTATCCGGTTATGTATCCCTTTTCCCTGCAGCGTTCTTCTCCTTTTTCCTACCATAAAGCAGCGTGCATTAACTCTTGCTTTCTGCACTCTAACACATTACTGGGAAGTGCAAACGCCAAAGGAGGGCACTTACAGGCTTATTTAATAAAAAAAGCTCTTATTCTTAAATGGTCACTATTGTGAAAACTGTTGTACTTAGATAAATGTGTAAGAATAATCTCTTGTAATTATTAGTAATACAAATCTACATTTGTTTTTTTTTAAAAATGCCTTAATTTATATTGTTCTCCACAATTGCGCATATATCAAGTTGCCCAGACAGACCCTGCACCCATGACACAAGATTCCCAGAACGCTATGAATTTTCTAAAGAGAGCACAGCAGTTTCCTTTCAGACACTATGGGGTCTATTCACAAAGCTGCCGAAGGATCTGGCCGTAGCTTCGGCCGATCCTTCGGCTAGCTTCAGCCCCAGGACCCCTTCGGTTCAGGAGAACCGAGGGGGTGCTGTACGGGCTATTCACAATAGCCCGTACAGCTCCCGATCACGGCCGAGCAGCTCAGTCGAGCGCTGAGCCGTGCTGAAAGCCGAAGCTGGCCGAGCGGCCGGCCATTGGCCGGCCGACAGCCTGCTTCTGACAGCTGGGCGGAGCCAGCCGTGATCTTACGGCTGGCTCCGGCCACTTTCAGAGAGATCAGCGTCCCTGGTTGCTAACCAGGGACACTGATCTCCAAGCATCTGACTCTCCCTGGCGCCCCGGGAGTCTCCTGCTCCCGGCCGCCAA